AACGTGGCAACTACACAGGGTTGCTTTATCATTACGCTGTTAGATATACAAGGAGCGGAACGGACGTAATCCAGGCTGGAATTAGTCTCCGACCCAAAAACAGGACAGAGGTGTGAGCCAGCAGTGATTTCCTAGCTAATACAAAACATCAATGTGTTAAAGGCAAAACCCGGTCAAGAAGAGTAACAGCCAAGTCGATGAGTTGTAACGCACGGTCATAGAAGATGGCACATGAAAACATGCTCTTCCCAAAAGGCTCGCCGAACTAAACAACGGGATAACTGCCTTGTATGCTCCCCGAGTTGAATCGTTTACTCTGGCCATCAACGGAGCACATACCTGTTTGTGCATTGGATCCCCCTGCCCCTGTTGAACCAGGGACCGTTGATCCCAACAAGCCATGGCGAACTAACCAGTCACTTCCACTCCCTGGCCTTCACCCTCCGCAGCTCACCCTAGGCGTCGCCGTTTTGAGAAGAACATAACGAAAGACGAGTTGCTATAGTAATTCATGAGTCAGATGAAAGGAGCGCTGAGCCATGCAGGGACCTCTGCAAAGGGCGCACTGGCATCCGAAGCAATTGGCGGCGCAAGACTGCGCCGAGGAAACTACAAGCATTTCACCTTGACGAGCCAGATGGGTTGCAGACTTGTCTCACGACACACCAAGCCACCCGGTTTTGCGAGGTACGACGGACGCGAAAGATCAAAAGTGTGTCTCGCCGGGCACTACGCCCGACACTTGGGCCACGAGTCCATGAGACAAACGTCCGCCCTCGGAGCCGGCAAATGCCGTGTGCTCAAGAGGACCAATTCCCGTTCGCATGAGATCATCAGGCAGACATTATCAGGATGGGCAACGAGCCCAATCGTGCGCGGAGAAAAACGCCCAGATATGCGTCTCCAAGAAATGAGGCTGGACATTTTGGGGGCCGCAAGCTTTGATACACAGACACAGACGACAACGCACATGGCTCAGGTGCAGCAGACGGCGAACAACTAGCAGTTTAGTTAGGTCTACGACCAAAATAGAAACCAAACGATATCATAGGAGGCACGAACTCTGGATCTGCAAGCTCGCTTTCCCCGTATCGCGCATCCACTGCCTTCCCAGTCACCCCGTCGCCCAATGATCAATCCATGCGGCTGGCGGACCAGGGGGGCACACGGCTCGTTCGCCCAAGGACCGACAATCGTATCGCTCGAGGCGTGGGGGGAAAGGGATCAAAGACATTCCAAGACATCCAAAGGCTCATAAGGCTACGGCTCGTGCCCTTTTGGCGACTTGTAGTACGGAGTACGTACTGCTCTGAGGCGGCCCAGTCTCCAGATAAGATGTAACGTCGGCGTCAGTAGAAGCAGCCAGTCGCCGTCGAATCCGACGTGCTTACACAAAAGTTTGTTGCGCTGGTCGCAAGCTTTATTCCCTTTTGTGCGAACCGATCCTACCATCGATGTCCATCGTGCCCCTCATTCGCTTCCAGCCAGACTGCCTAAGCTCACTCCCATCCACCAGCAAACATTGAAGGGGGGTTCTGAAGCTGGCGCCTGAGATGGCGCTACTATGTTCAGAGGGCGTTGGCAACGTCCAACGGCGTCACTGCTCCGTGCGTATCTCTCGCTCCATCGCCAAGGCGGCACATGCCCCAATGCAGGCAATCGGAAATAAATCCACCAAGACGATAGTATCGGCGAGGCGAGTCGTACAAGAGCCAGAGCCTCGCCCTTTTGACCCGTTCAACGTCCAGATGTCCACATGGCAGCAGCCAGGGAGGGGGTGTCGGACAGCATCGCAAAGAAGGGTCTGAATGTCGGCCGCATGTCTCTTTGACCAGTTTTACATGGACTATTACAGAGTGCATACAATAGCATGAAGGAGGATCAGAGGGGTCACGGGTGCCATGGCCAACGCATATTGCAGCTATGCGGTTAGTCATCACGTTTGCCACTTATGTCAAGTACTCCGGAGTCCGCAGCGTCCATGTTCCGAGACGACATCGAACATTGAAGCGTATCCCGCTCGTTATAGCCGCTCAGACACCTGTAAAGGCCGCCTAGGTGCCTGTAAACGGCCTAGGCGCCAAGAACCAGCAAGCAATTTCCACGTAAAGCCTGCCAAGTGACTACATGTATTGACACGCCGACGCCAATGGTATATCCAATATTATCCAAAAACATGAGCAACATTGTCCGACTTTCAAGCCCTTGCCAAAGAAAAAAAATTTGCAAAAGAAGAAAGAGCCGGATATTGAGAAAGCCACCAGACATCCTTGGTCTTAGTCCGGCCATTGACGAGGATCGTCCCATGCAGCCGCTTAAAAATAGAGACGGGAAGGCAAAAAAAATAGAGAAACGGGGGTTCCACGGCCTCCATCCAAAACACCTGATAATCGTCCCATGCCCAAAAAGTCAAAAAACCACAGAAAGCAAAAAAAAAATCCCGATGCGGTCGTTCACAAAAGGCAATACTACAGCATGCGCGTTTCGTCGCATCCGGACAATATGTCCGACAACTGCAGCCATTTTCCCGCCGCGGCTACACAGCATAATGTTTATCTCGCTTCCAGATGTCCGCTTCTGCTCCACCCGTCAGAACCCGTTTTCTGCATGCCCAGAAGCGCGGCTAATGGGAGAGTGGGATCTTAAAACAAAAGAAAAAATACAAAGGTCCCCTCGCAGCAAAAGGCCCGTTGCGGCAATTGTCCAAGCCCACCAACAATTTACCCCTGGGCTTGCCGTGCAAAGGAATAGAAAAAAAGGGCGTAGAACCGGGCGTAGAAGCCAAAGTCGACTAGTCCGTCTTTATTGCTGGGGAGAGCCGCAGCCAGGCGCCGCAGCCAGGGCCAAGCGCTATACCTAGCGCGGACTGGCAAAAATGCAAGTGGCAGAGGAGCAGCAAGGCCCAAATGCTTCTTGATTCCGGGCTTCGAATGGCTTTGACTTGTTTCGATTTGCCAGCCTGTCTGCTCGAGTAGAGGGGCAAGAGCCGTTCATTCAATCTCGTGTGGAGCCGCGGCTGAGCCCAGATCAAGGGCCAGGGAACCTTTGGAACCCCGGTTGACAGCTCAAACCGTGAAACATTGTTTTACAATACCACCATGTGCACCGTATCAGCCTTGCAGAAACATGCATTTGAAAAAAATCCTGGTAATACTTTAAGGTCTGCGGCATCGCCGAAAATTAAGACATCAACTCAAAGTGTCTCTGCCTTTATCATTTTCAATCTCACCCGTTGTCCAACTTGCTACATGTACTGATCAGCAGCAGAAAACAAAATCATAATAATAAAAGGCAAGTAAGCAAGGGTGGCATGGCCGATGATGGGGCCACATCCCAACGAACCATTCTTATTCGTAGCACCAGGAAGCCAAGCAAGGGAGGGGGTGGCAATATCCGCGCTCTTCAGCGATACCCGGGCGGGGCTCCCCACCAAACAAACCACAACCGCGACGTCTTTGGGCAGGGCACTTACATGAACCCACGAGGGCTGAAAACGCTACACGCAAGGGTGCCACTTACACCGGGTCCCAGTTGTGACTGGTCTTGACTCTTCAGTCCCTGTTCACAAGGAAACGACAGGAACGGCTTGAAGCATCGACGGGATGAGCACCAGATTCTCTTGCCCGCGCCCGGGCCAGAGCCGCACTGCTGGCCCCCAAGACGCAGACATTCCAATGTCCCATGGTTCGTGGATAAAAATACTCTGTACATGCTGTACTCTCAGGTCCCTGGTCCGGACGGGCCCCAGGGGCGCTCAGGGGCTCCCATTATTTCATGTAGGGGCAAGCAGAGTGGCAATAGCACGTCACCCCGGCCAGCCGGTGGGTTTCATGCAGGTGAAGCTATTCAGACGCTTTCTTGCCCCGTGTTACACAGCATATATTCCCGGCGCGCGGCGATTTTCCCCCCTTCTCTTCTCGTAGTATTCCCCATCCGGGCTTGCCAGGCTACACAGTTATAAAAGTAGACTTAATAACAAGCCTGTCTTTTTTTTCAGCTCATGTGACGTGCCATTCATAATCTGGAACCCGCGGGCCAATGCGCCCCGGTATGCACGAAACATGACACCGATTTGATCAGTTTTCGTCCTGGACATGGGCAACGCGTGGTGCCCAGCTCTTTGATGCATAAGCCGCCCCCGCAGATCGCAACGGCCTGCTCCCCCCCTGGCAATGTCTCTGAATCCATCACCATCACCATCACCATCATCATCACCATCATCATCCACTGGCCTGGGTCTGGAGGGGATGGAAAGAAAACTCGTCGCCAGAGCCTCCAACGCCCGCTGAGGATATAAACTCGAACTATTGTATCGTACTTTCATATTTCATATGCAACAAGAAAAAAGGGGAGAGAGAAAGAGGCGCGGGGACCAGGCAGCATCTGGACCGGACCTTCGGCTGCAGCAAGCAGCACCGATTCAAACAGACAGGCTGTAATATAAACCTCTAATAAATCTTGCCATTGTCTATGAAGTTGCGTCTGTATCTGTATAAAATGTACTTCTAATAATACGACAGAAGAAATAAAGAGCAAGCGACGAGTAGTGATACAATCGACAATAGCAGAAACAAGCAAACCATCAAGAGTCTTTTAGCTCTCATCCTATCACCGTAGCAGTAAGCACACTCAACCTCAACGCCTGGCTCGCCCAATTTTCCTGCCCAACACGAAAATACTCCTAGCCATCTAGGCTAAACTAAACGAGAGAAATCATGGCATCGTAAGCAGCAAACATCCAACGTCACGTTTTCATCATGGCAGCATTTGCATCTGCTAGCAATCCCGCCTGTCCAAGACGAGCATGTTTTTTTGGGGGGAGAAGAGACCCAGTGAGGCCGAGACTGTTGCATCCTGTCGCATTCTATGCACGTCTCAACTCAGCCCCCCTCTTTCCCTTCCCCACCCAGTCTGCTGAAGAACACCGAGGCAACATAAAATAAAAGTGCAAGTGAGAAAATGGAACAAAGAACTGAAAGTCCCGGTGACTGGGCTGTTCATTAAATTACCGGAGGATACACCTGGATGCTGGTTGGGTCGTAGGTGTAATTCGTATCGTCGTAATAAGCTTCCTCGCCACCACTGCTGCCATAGCTGGCTGTCTGAGGTATACCATGGCCATATGTGACGTAGTGCGCCCCTGAGTAAGGGTCGTCTCCAACGTATGTGCCGCGGCCACTGCTGCGGCGGCTCTGAACTTCGTGTCCTCTTGACACGGCCAGTCCCCAGCTAACGCTGCCCCAAGGCAGACCAGACAACTCACTGTCCAGGTTGAAGTCTGAGGGTGAAGGAATGCGATAGCTATTGCCGGCGTGTTCTTGGTTACGCAGCTCTCGTTCCGCCTTCTCTTTATTTTCTCGAGCTTTTTCCCCTAAACAGTTTGTTAGTAATTGCCCATCCGCCTTACAGATGCCGCGGCACACTTACTGAACTTGCGCTGGGCAATTCGATTTTGAATCCTTCTTCTCTCTTCTGGGTCGGTCACATCAGTCCAATCGACGTCCTTTGGGCTGGGTTTGGACTTTCTTGACGACGGAGAAGCAGCGTGCTTCTTTGAGGACGAGCTGCTGGAGCTGCTCTCAGAATCATATCTCGCCATCTTTGCCGAAGTTATCTTGGCAGGGGTTTCAAACGTGTCCAACTCCGTTGCTGTGCTAGACGTCTTGCGCGACTGGCTAGAAGTCTTGTTATTTCTGGGGCAAGTAGTAGCGTATTTTGGCTGACCAAGACCCTCGATAGTTGCGACTGTCACTTTTAGAGATGTGGGATTGATATGATCGAAAGGGACTGGTGAGGCACTGTGTACGCGTATAGCTGGAATAGTTGGACGTGCAAAATACTGCCTTTCAATAGACATCTATCTAACACTGGCGTGAAGTGTATAGTGACGAAGAAGAAGATGGGGCAGTCCAGTTTGAGTTCTGTCTCATGCTTGGGAGTTGTGAATAATTTGCTATATGTTTAACAGCGGCGTGGTTTCTCGTCAGCGGGGTGGACAAGGCTGCAATTGTAGAGTTCGTGAAGAGATGAAAGTATGAGTGCAGTGCCGTTTCTACCAAGCAACCAAGTTCGAGGTTGTCAAATGACTTGCAAACCGAAAGGCGATGGCAAAGAGAGGTGTAGAGAGGATCGTGAACTTTTGAAAACACCGAAGGCAGGCCCTCTACTAATAAATGCTCGTCCAGCCATCAAGCCCTCACGGCAAGGAGACCAGGGATTCCCATTCGGGACTTGACTTGATCTGCTGTGGAAATACACACACCCCGTGCGAGTCGTCTCCAGCCCGTGGCGGCCGGCATCAGGTACATGCCATGATCCTACATGTCTAGGGACCTGGCCCGGTAGGGCAGAATACTTTCGCCATCAACACTAGAGATGACGGTGACGCAGAGAGAAGATGATTAACCCTGGTGGCCACCATCCCTGTTGCCTGCCGACAGAGGTGTGGGGGTTGAGGCGTGAGGGAGGGGGGTGCAAAGTCAAATATTGTGAGAGCCGAACAAGGTGAGAGTCTCGTGGCTGCCACTGGGAGGTGTGCGACTTTGTCAGACCAGCAGAATCCACCACCAGCAGCAAACGAGATCAGGTGTACTCGGTATGGGGGCCAAGGCATCGACAAGCCATGCCAGGGACGGAGGCCGCGTCTAGGAAACCAAGATGGGCGTGTGACGATATGCCGTCCCGCCAAGCAAACGACATGGGGCATGAGGAGACATGGACGGTAGACTCTAGAGCTGGGGGCGTGTGTATGGAGGTGCCAGGCACTTTTAGATGCGGGTTGCAGAGTCGTATCGGGTGTCATGTTTTTGCCAGACTTGGTCAAGGTAGGCGAAGTGGGCAGACGATGCGACAGAAGCAATCTGCTTGTTGCTAAAATAGATACAGTTTAAAGTATGAATGTAAAGTCGGCGCAAAAAGGAAAAGGCGGAGCGGGTGAGGCTCGATAAATGATCAGACTGCCAACTCGAGATGCTGGGGGCTTGGAGTCTGAGTGCGAGTGTCGCAAAGGAATGTGCGAACTTGGGCCATTGAATGGCTGAAAACTGGTTTTAATGTTCAGCAGGTACAAGCAAACGCGCCTGCCGTATTCCTACATTGGTACTCAATGTACATATCTGACTTGGCCTGTTGCGTGACTCCATGACCTTTGCCCATGCCGGCAGGAGACATCCGGCTGGCATACTTTCCTTCTTTGCCATGACGCACGGACTGAGTCTGGAGGGCGAGGACCAGGTAAAGTCGGGATAGCAGTTGGTACATACGTAGGAGACATGCCATCCACAATCGACCTTGCAGCAATCTGCATACTCCAACCACTCCGCCAATACGCATCGACTGGTCTTGCAGGCACCAGCGTGCATCTGGGCCTGGCACCTTTTGACGTTGAACAGGGGCCTCGGTCTGTAGTTCTGAACCAGACGCTAGGACAAACCTGGCAGGGCACCTTTGGCTCCAACTGCCGCCGACACGGCCAAGTGCGGTTGGTGAGGCTGGGCCAGCACGAGGCGGGCTTCCGCACAGCTGACCAAACTGGGCGTAGGAGGTCAAGGAGAGGTCAACTGGTACGGGGATGGAGAGCCTACTTGCCACTCTGCAGGTGTGTCAGTCAAAGTCCGTACATATGTCTACTACCAGATAGGTAGGTATGTATGTACATGCCTGGCATCGTTGACCATGCTTGAACCGCAGACACATGGCTAATCGTCGCTGAAGATGGATTCATATTAAGTGCCGCGCCGCCACAAGCTTGGCCTGCCCCTCGACTCTGTCAAAATTTCCAACATTGCAGGGTGTCGGTGGGGGCAGGATCTCAACAACAGGCTCTGTGGTGAGCCAAGTTGAGTGTGCAATTCGAACGCAATACCATCCATTGCAGGAAATTCGTATTCGCCAGGAAGACCGGAATCATCGCCGGTCTGAGATCGCAATATGGCGGCTCATGACATCAAGCCACCTCACCCAATGCCGAGCAGCTTGCCTGTATCTGACTACGTGCAACCAATTTGCTCCGCGCTAAAGACCAAACCCAAAAGCCTCCCAATATTACTTCAAAAGTTCATATGAATTAATTCGACAATGGCTTGCGTCTTACAAAATTCCTCTTCAAGTCATAAACAGACATTCACTTGGGCCTGCCTCGACAGCTGAGCCACGTTGCGCGCATGATGGGTCTGGTACCCGCGCTCCGTGCGGGAAATACCCTGCCTCCCTGGAACCATGGCAAACCTACCCAAAGGGACACCGTTTGCAGCATGACCAGGACACGATATATGACGAGTTCGGGGGCAAGACACGTGCTGATAGCACTGCAGCAACTGCTCTCTCGAATATCAAGCATATTTTATCATATTGTCATAGCCTTCTCCAATACGGGGGAATGTTCAAAACAACGTAGCCAGGGTTCTGGCACCATTCGTACATACCAAAAGCGTTGCTCCACACCTACTGATAAGTAAGTGTAGTGCGAACGCGAGTTATACGACGCGCAAAATTTCAAAAGGGACAGTTTCGCCACAAGGCCCTCCAGGATTATCGGTTTATATCCCCGTGCAATCCGAGTGAACATAAGGTAGCCCACGCAAGGTCGGCCGATTTTTGCCGGCCTAGCTGCTAGGTACCCAGGAGAAGTCTAAAATATAGCATCCGAAGCGTTACTAGCCTTCCTTTCTGACAGCCATAAACAGTAGAAATATCATCATAACTTCTCCTATAGTCGCCTTCACGCTTATCCTCTCGGCACTAGCTACCAAACTAAACCAGAACTGTTATAGGTGGTTGTTGTCGTTATCGCTTTGGTGGCCGACAGAGAAGTCGATCTCGCTAGACTCTCCTCCGAGCGGGGCATCAGTGAGCCGAGGCTCCCTTGTGGTCTAATTGCCAACCAAGGCCCGCCAAAGAAACGTTGGCTCCTCATCTTTTTCCAGCATGGTGGTGTTCCTCTCTTGGCCATTCATCAAACGTTTTTATCGGTAGGAATGGGGCACGAAAACAAGATCCAGAGTGGTGTATCAAGACCTACTAATCCGCTGGAGTTGTTTGCCCGTACGCATCACCAGCGCATGATTACTGTCTGTGAAGATATAGTTCACATGTAGCTCATGTGGTTTCTGAGAAATTTAGACGGGCGTCCCGTGAAACTGCTCACATTACTACTACAAACGGATGCAAAGACTTGGAGCACCAGATATTCCATTAAATGAGGCCTAGTACATTTCTTGATCCTGGGGATTTTACATGACAATTTGTCTCTTCCCATTGGAAGATGCTACTGGCTCGTCTTCGATGTCAACAGCTCCCGCAACCAAACTGGCCAGTTATAGTACGGCGTAAAATTCCGTTCGCACAACGGAGTGACCTTGGCACCAATATTCCTTAAAGTCACATGGCAAAGGGGCCACTTCAAGGACTGGTAATAAATACCTGATAAACACCTTCCAAGCCGTTGGCTCTTGATTTCAAGTATGGCGCGCCCCTGACTGGGCGCCGCTCTGGTTTTCTTTTCTTTTTTTTTTTTTTGGCAAAACCATGTTCATCGTGAAACGGGTGCTTTGCCGAGCGATCGCGGGGGTCCTGTACCAGACAGGAGGTAAATCCAAGTCCATCTTTTGCGGGTTAGCGATTGGAGCTGAAAACACCAATCATTTCGGATTTTTTTACCTCAAGGCAACATCATTACTTCAGGCATCAGAGTCTCCGAGGGATCGAAGGAGTGGCATAACGAGCGATCCAGCCAAGCAGCATGCCTCAGTCAGTTGCAACAGTCATGAGCAACAAGTGTTGTGGCGTGTCACCCGCCCGACTAAAGTCTTATTCAGGAACAGATTCAGCATGGCTCTTGTTCCAATGAGCCAAGAAGCCACTTTGACATAACCAGTCACGTCATTGGCTTTGCGAACGTTTATACGTGATGCAATCCATGGGTCACTGTTCATGATACTCGGTCTAGCATCTTTTGAAACGTCTGGACTATTATTTCACCCGGCAGAATCCTTGGCGTCATTAACTTCTATTCTTGGGACGAGAAGCTTTGCCACTTCCAATCATGATGCGTAGAGTACCCTCCACCACATCTGATCGTCGTTATGCTGTGTGTGGGCTGAACCCTGGGAAAGGCTGGCCTGTTTCCTGGTTCGTCCAGCACGTGTCAGCCGGGGTGTTGAAATTGCCTGTGCAGGAAGATGCTTCTTGATATGGGTAAATGGAAAACGCTGCTTTTCGCTGCACCAGTGAGACCATGGTGTGCCACGGTGATCACAACCTCTCTTGTTCGATACGCATGTACATAGCTACTGGGCTAGGGGTGACTCGGTAACCCAATGGCTGAGGTGCTCATACATGTGCATATGTACAATCCTTCTTGCACATGCCACTCCCCGGTAGGGTAACATCGCCTAGATTGAACAAGCTGTACTGATAAGTTTCCTGGTTCAGGTTTCCTCGGGTTCGAAACCTCCGTTCCCAGCTAGTGCTAGGAGAATATTGGCTCATTTTAGATTTGCCGGCCGACAAGTTACAACCACATTCTGGGGATCCCACAATGTCTGAGAGCGAGGCAACGCGAAACAGGGAGCAAAGGCGCTCATGTATCGGCTCTATAAA